AAGAAGATATTTTAATGAACAAATAGAACTGACTGCATAGTTGATGTAAAAACCAACCCAATCACAAAGGTTTAAGTTTAAAAGGTGGCATACTAAAAGTTTAAAACAAAATTCAATCAATTGTGTTATTATAACACATATAATAATAAACAAAATAAGAATAAACTTAGACTATTATAGACATTTAATTTAATAGTAAAAATAATAACATTCCCCCATTGATGAAATATAGAATAATAATTTTTTAAAAATTAATATAACAAAGTTGTTATTCAAAATATTAATTGATCTCCTGACAATGTAATCTATACATTCAATGGAATATAATAGTATTATTCTAAAAATTAAGTGTAAAAGCTTAACAAACAGGGACTACAAATACTATGCTAATCTATTGAAATTCCTACTCAATAATTAATTCTAATGAGAAATCACAGCTACAGGTTAATGGGAAGATGGAAAGGAAATATCTGTCTAATGTATGCAACCTTCAAAAGGTAAACTGAGCTGTTGTTTTTATTAGGAATGCTACACAGGGAAATGGTTGGGTTGCATTTATAGATCACTTACCTTGAGATTATAATCCCATTTTCCTGCTCTCTTATAAAGGTAAAAAAAAGGGTAGGGGGTAAGTATAGTATAAACATAAGCTTCTGTGGTTTCAGTAACTATCAATCCAACACATTTTAGCTACTGAAAAAATTCCTTATGTTGTGACTCTGGAAAACATTTGATATGGATGAATATAAAATTCACAACAAATATTTTCTAAGTCAACTTGCTCAGTCACATGAAAAATATGACTTATTTTTAGCATCATACTTTGCTCCCTTTTTTTTTCTTTGTTGCATAGTGTTTGTTGAGCATTAAGTGTTCTGATCTAAAATTAGATTCTCACACTGTATGTAGCTGCCTGGATGTTCAAAAAGAAATGTGATTATGTGCACATATTGCAGAAAAAAATGTAAATTTCAAATCCATTGGAACATAATTGTGATGTTCAAACAGAATATAAGAAAACTTGAATAAAACAAAATGAATGGATGACAGATTTTTATAAAAATAATTTTTAAAATCTCTTAGTGAGATGAAGTTTAGATTTTTTTCCCTTTTTGTTTAACTCTGTGGCAATAAGCACTTCATGGTCTGAAAGTGTTTGGGTAATTTATTCAAGAAATTCTAGATCAGGTGGGTATCCTACAATTTTGCTAATGATGCTCAGGTTGTCCCTAAATCACACAGGTTAGGCTAGGTATTAAATGACAGTGAATTAAATTCATGGTTATTTAAGAATTATTTAGGAAAGTGGGAAACTCTATATTTCAAATCAAAGTTGGATAAAGATACGTATTTATTACCAGTATGTGCTTAGCTTCATTCAACTACTAGGAGAAGCAATTAGACATTAATTATATTATTATGTGTAGCCAAAGTCTGTAACCAATTAGACCATAATGACAAAGTAGTTTTATGACTGCCTGTTTACATAAATAGACCATATTTATTGTAGAACATATTTCCCATTATTAAGAAAAGGAGAAATTCTATGTGAATAAAATTTGGTACAGCAAATAACTGATAGAATTTAATTATTTCATTTGTAATACTGTACATTTAGATTATTATATCATCACCATTGAAAGCATTGGATTATTAATATTTTTAGTTTTTCAATTATGTCAAGAGGCAATGTAGTTTAGTAGAAAAATTGCTAGATTTAGTGACAGAAACCTGGGTGTGCAAACCTAAACAAGGGATTTACTCTATGTTTCAGTTTACTAATGTGAAAAATAGAGAATGATAATATCTATCTGAAAAGACTATTTTAAGAACGGCATGAGAAAACAGACACAATTATAGATATGCTCTTAACTTTATTCCCTTCTCTTTCCCCTCACTCACCTAAGAAGTAAACAAAATGAAAGTAGCAGGACAGATACCATGTTTTGAGGCATCATGACACTGGTTCCATTTTTCTCTGGATATTCCAACAATTCTGCTCCTATTTATGACTTTCTCTTTTAAGATTGAAAGGACTATGGGGAGATAAGGTGATGGAATATTTCAGCTGCTCACACTGTGAGATTCACAATTGTACTGATAACTAGCTTTCTTTGAATACTTTATTAGAACCTGAATCCTAGCTCTGCTGCTCGCAGTATAATCTTTGTGCTTTAGTTCCTCCTGATAAAGGCTGAAAGAGAGAACTTTAAGGTATGTTTCAGTTCTGTAATTCTGTGAACTCTACCAATTTCTATTCTGCCTTGAACCTGTACCACCTCAGAGGCTTTTCAAAGAATAATTTTGCACTGGCTAGCAAAAGATAAAGAATTGAATTAAAGTAGTAAGCAGCACTCATCTACTTTCCACTAGTTGGAATCTGAGAAGAATAGAGTCACTAAGCAATTATTCCTCTTTCCCATCTCAGCATCTCTTATTCTTTCCCTCTCTCTATTCCCCTCTGGAAGATTTACAATTTTCCAAAGTATATTTATGACTTCCTAAATTTCAATATTTTTCATCAGTGTATAAAAAGATTATGGAAAATATATAGATGTTTGACCACTGTCTGGATCTGTCCTTCTCAAACTTAAATGTGTATATGAAAGATCTGAATATTTTGTGAAAATACACACTTGGATTTAGTATGTTTAGTGTGGTGTCTCATATTATGCATTTATAACACATTTCCAGGCGATGCTTTTAGTCCTAGAATCACCCTTTGGGTAGCAAGGGTTGGAACCCTTCTGTGGACTACAGTGATCCTAAATGTAAAACTTAAAAGAAAAGAAAATCATTGAAAGTAAATACTATATTTCAATTTTGTAAAAAATTTCCTTTTTGATGACTTTCTCACTAATAAAATCACATTTCAAAGCTGAAATTTCCAGAAAGGCAATATACTGTTCCTACAATTGTTCTATTCTCATGTGATTTCTCTACATTATGATTCACACATTTAAAATTTGGCAAAGTGGTGTCATTACACAATCTGAGCATCACTATTTAATTTTGAAAACATATAGGAGAATCCATTAAATTATGCTATAGAATTATTAAGATGATCAGATTATGTATTCAAAATAAAAATTTTGTCAATATTTATGGTATTTTATAAGCTTTTTTTCTGTGTGTTTCAAAACCAAAGTTAATATGAAACAAAATATTACAGTGCTCTAAAATACTACAACTAGTCATCCAAATGGATACATTTGCAAAAAACATTTCTTTATCTTATGTGGAGCTACCTATTTTTATTTCACTTTTCTTTCAAAATTCCTTAATATTCAATAACCTTGCTACTGGCTGACAGAAACTATAAACAAAAATATAGACCTATTTACCAACAGTAGTTATTTGGGAAATGAAGGAATTTGAATTATGATTATAGAAGCCATTATTCACCCAAGAGTCTTAGAAGAGTTTAGAGATGAAAAGTGGTGTTCTGAAATTCAACACTGCTTCATCTTACTAAAAAGTATACAATCATTCCCTTTTCTTTATAAATACATGCTAGATTTCCTTATGTTTACCACAAACCTGACAAAGTCCTGAGTTCCTGGTAGAAACTAAACAGTAACAACAACGACAAGTTCTATTTAAAAATAAATACTACTTGTAGTATTCCTACTTTATCTGTATGTTTATCTGCACTTTTCCTCATAGAAGATAGACAGTAAGCTGATTAAGGTTCCAGATTTACCTACATGTATTTAGTGGAGGAAATGTCTTCTGGAGGTTTAAAATAAAGGACGGTGCCAGTAGATAATAGTTGAAGACAAAAAATGGTGGCCAGACAAGGTGAATAAGATACTGAAAAGGCAAATGAGGCTTAATAGAACACACTGGTGCAACACAGGAAGTATTCTGAGTGTTTGTCCTTCATTATATCCCAGAAAATTTTGTGTCCTAAGAGCCTCGTGACATTGTATAAATTTTAGAGCCAAAATGAACCATACATAACTGATTGCAAATCCTATAAGAATTCAGCAAGTTTGCCTGAAATCATGCAACCACAAAATCATGCAAACTAAAATGACATTCAGAACATTATAAAAATTATTTTGTTAAAATATCAACAATAGCAAAACCTCTTTGATTGATTTTTAAAATGTTATTCTTGCAGAGTATTTTAGGCTTACATGGAACACTGGATCTGCGAGATTCATTTACCTCTATCATATTATTTATCACGTAAAAATAAAGTTCAGTTCTTCTTTTAAATAAACCACTGACCATGTAGTAATGTAAATGTAAATATAACATAGACAACCAATTCATTTTGTTAAGCAAAGAGAGCTGAAATAAATAAAGCTGTTTTCAAGAGGCAGCTGTCTTATGCAGAGGAAAATATTTCTTTTTTATTAGCTCCATCTGATGGCTGATCTGGTTTTTACACACTGCCTGGCGATAAATTCTCAACAGTAATTTTGTTTTCTCTCTCTATCAGAAAGGTGTGCTATATTGAGAAAAGGCTGTTTATCTGATTATATGACTAGTTTAATAAATTCTGAAAAGTATTTATAATTATGCATAGTAAAGAATTATTTATAATATTCTTTACAATAGTAAAGAAATCTTGTCATTTTTTTTTCCTTTTTAGGTTTAGAAGCATAAATATCAGTGATCACAGTGGTAGAAAATTTGAAATTTGAAAATAATAACATTTGTCAATATCATCCTGTATGCACATCTTCATATTAATTTATGCCTCTCTGATAAGTTTAGCTTGCCCCCTGCCTAATTTATATTGGGCATGTACATGGAGATAAATTTTAACACACAAAAATGGTTTTATAGTCCTCATTCATGTTTTATACTAATGGACCAGTTTGGTAAGAACCTATTTATATGGTGCCATTCTAATTTTATCAGATATGAGCATGCACACTTGAAAATCCAATTCTGCCAATGGGAAAAAATAACAGGATTTAAATGTTTTAAAAATACATAACTGAGCATAAGTATAAATAATACATAAATTAAGAAAAATACTATACCTCAGCATCATATTCCCATAACTGATTTCCTCTCATATGGTGGCATTTTAACATGATTACAGGTCCATTGAGTCTAGAAACATCCAAGCACAAGTCATCGGTTCGGATTTCTTTGTCCGCAGTGTAAGAAAATACCTGAAAATATAAAATTCAGCCAATAATCTAGTTTTTAAAAAGTCACAATATTGCAGATCTATCAGTGGAAGATTTCATATCACATAAACTTGTGTTTTCAAATGATTGCTACTGTGTGTGATCTTAACAAAGCTAGTTCACTTCTCTGAGTCTTTTTCCTAAATAAGGACAATGGAATCTATTTCATAGGGTTTTGGTAAAGCCTCAATGTAACAAACAGGATTATTAACTGCTCATCATTTGCTGGCATTGTATTTCCTGCATGATACTTTAGTTAGAAAACTCACAATAAGTTAAATAAAGTTTGTAAAATGCCTGGAGTTTAATAAAAGGCAGTCTTGTTCTTACCATTTTATGACCACTTCCCCAATTCTAGAGATAATGGTTTTATATATATATATAAAGTTTAAATCTCTCTTTCTGTAACATAAATACGTCACATAAATTTTATAAAATGTTGTGGGTTTCTGAAGGTTGTAGAATTATCTTCTCTAGAGATCTCATTAAAGGGAGGCTCTATATTTAACTCTAATATGGTTTGGCTAGGCAGGACTACATCAATTCCTCTCAAAAAAGCCAAGAATTGTCAAAGTCGATTGTGGACTCATTCTTAGAGAATTCAAATTGAAACCATAATAATCTTTATTATTTTGTTCTTGGTGTGAATAATTTATTTATAACATTGATTATTAAAGTTTCATGAGGGTTCTTAAGTGCATAATCATAAAATGCATTTTCTTCTTTTGGCTATGATAAGCATGGTTCATTACTCTGTGTGTTTTTCTTTTTTCCTTGCAATGTCAACAAGGAACATAATAACAAAAGTTCTCTCAGGGTCTTTTTGTTTCCCAAAGACATCTGATAAAATCTGAGGAAGTCAGCTTTAAAAATAACATAAACTCTGAGCCCTAGTCTGTAAGCTGAACAAGTTGGAAGGGTTGCCTCTGCACCACTGCTACTCAGGACTTCTAAGAACATCATAAAAAGTGGTGAAAGGAAGTTGAAAGTCAGTGAGGGAACCCAAGTATCCTCTCAAGCCAACCTCTTAAAAGGAAATTCTTCACAAAAGTTATCCATGCTACTCAACAATATACAATTTTGAGAGGTATGTGAAGTTAATTTATTAATAATTCAATTATATGAAATATATTACAGATTTCACATTTGGAAATAACAAATGCTCTGTTTTTATTGCTTTTTCATATTTTCCATACTTTTCATTTGTCATACTTTTAATGAAAAATATCTAGTAACTAAAAGAAGAATAAAAGAAAAACACATCAAAGATAAGTATTTGTATCCTCCCAAACATAGTATTTTTGAGAACACAATTACAAATTTATTAAATTATTAATAATAACTGAATCCGGCAGTGAATCTTAAATTGAGGGAGGGAAATTGCCAGAGAAATTTTTTTCGCCTATTATAGGGTTATTTGAATAGTGAAGGATAATTTTCCACATTAAAATTGCTTCCTTATAATTGTGTACAAATGCCCATGTAAAAATAGACACCAAACGTCTACATTGAGCATTACTTTTCTTTTTATTTTTTTGAGATAGAGTCTCCTTTTGTTGTCCAGGCTAAAGTGCCGTGGCGTCAGCCCAGCTCACAGCAACCTCAAACTACTGGGCTCAAGCGATCCTTCTGTCAGCCTCCTGAGTACCTGGGACTACACTACAGGCATGTGCCACCGTGCCCGGCTAATTTTTTCTACATATTTTTAGTTGGCCAATTAATTTCTTTGTATTTTTAGTAGAGACTGGGTCTCGCTCTTGCTTAGGCTGGTTTTGAACACCTGACCTTGAGCTATTCTCCTGCCTCAGCCTCCCAGAGTGCTAGGATTACAGGCCTGAGCATTACTTTTCTATATTAAGTGCTGTATAGTAATGGCTTGAATAAAGATTCTCCTCAGGTCTCAAGATAGTTTTAAAACTGTACCTGTTGAAAGTTCTAGTGAGCAGTCTACTACTGTCTTTATTCCTCAATCTCTAACTTAGATTGATTTTTTGGTCAATTAGTAGATACCTTAAGTAATTTACATTCAAGAAAGATATATTTATAGAATGTTTTCTGAGCCTACATATGTGTCTATGATTATATTTTTTTTTTTGCCCTTTCTACTTGAAAAAAAGGTTAATTGATTTTAAAGTGCTTGGCCTACAAGTAGTTTTCTTGAAAAAAAAAATCTGAAGATAATGCTTCATTATTTTCTGGCATTAATATAAAATCAGTATTAATTTGCTTTTTGTGCCTGGGAAAAATCTCATTTTTATGCTTGATTATTTCTAGAATGTTTTTTACTCTTTATAATAATAAAAAAATCAGTGCATGTCAATATATACATAACCTTCTTGATTTTATCTGAGAATTACTAGGTTTGATATTAATTATTTATACTTTATATCTATTATGTTTTAATCCATAATTACTCTTCGTGTGCTTTTTCATATTTACTACTGTCAAAGGTTCGTGGAACTCACTTTGGATATACTAAACATTACATGCAAAATACTTTGTAGAGATCCTAGTAAATAGAAAGAATTTAGTAACTGATATTTAGAGTTGTTATTCCCAGTCCTGGAGCCAATCTCAGGTTGTGGAGTTATATGTGGATTCTTGCTTTGATGATCTACCTAGTACCCCTAAAGAATTTTAGGATAGGAGCCCAGTATTTTTGTGTCTTATTTCTCTGTGCCCACCCCTTGGCTACTATATAAAGTCTCAAGGAAGAAGATATAATACCAAATGACAGATTTTCCTAATACCTTCAGCATAGTACTAGCTCTACATATTGTGACACTCTAGAATTATTACTCCTGAATTCCTTTATGACTTGGGGGAAAACTTCAAATTTCTTGCTGAATTTCCTAGGAAGCAGTTACTCTACACGCTGCTGCCTGTCTCAATACCCCACATAGACTGTCTCAGGTGGTATGTGTAATGTGTAACTTGTTCTCCTTCGTTGTAGTTAAAATGTTCATGCCTGACCATAATATAAGATAAAATATTCCAGACCTGAAAGCCTACAAAGCACTTTACCTTAAACTATCACACATGTTGATAACCCCAATAGACAAGATTGATTCCTTCATTAGTAAAATCTCATTGTACATTGTCTTACAAAAAAAATGAAAACTATTCTTACTCCTTTTCTAGATATCGCCCAAGTTGCTTTACATTGGTTACTGATACTCATTCTTACTAAAGCAGAATTGAGTTGCAGAAACCATGGACTTAGCATGTTTTTAGTTACTCCAATGCCAGATTGACTTTAATGACAATTAATTAGTTTGAAATCTAATCTTTTTAATTAAGCTAAGATGACTAGAAGCAGAGTAAAACAATTAATCTCTGTGTCCTTCCTTCCAATATAACACAGGAGATAGGGAGGAAGATAACATTAATTGAACACCCACCTGTGTAAGAGACTGTGATACGCCTCATATATATTATATTCAATAAATTTGCCTTTTAATTTTATTGTGCATTCATCCTATGAATGTATAACAACTTACAGTATTGCAAAGCATAATAAGTAGAGCTTTTTACATAAATTACATGGATTTAATAGTTTGTGGCACTTTGGAAATTGTATGTTTTACAGCTTATGTTGCCTGAACACATAAAAATTCTGAGCTGTCTAGTAATACATGTTCTTAATGTAGTCTGTTGGTCAAGCTAGGTCTACAAACAACTACTGAAAAGGCTATTTTTACTTGGTGCTTTTAATTTCAGCTGTGTTATAAGATAATGATGGTGACAGAGGTAATGGAACCTATGCTCCATTTTGTGGATCTTGTTGATATTTACGCCTTCCAAAACTACCCTGATCACTGTAACAATTCAGTTTTTATTGTCTCCTATTGTATTAGTTTACTAGGGTTGTCATAACAATGCTGGACTTGGTGGCCTAAACAACAGAATTGTATTTCCTGACAGTTACGGAGGTTAGTCCAAGATGAAGATGTCAGTAGGGGTGGTTTCTTCTGAGGCCTCTTTGCTTGGCTTGAAGATGGCCGTCTTCTCCCTGTGTCTTCACGTGGTCTCACCTCTGTGCCTGTCTGTGTCCTGATCTCTTTTTCTTAAAGGACACCAGTCATATTAGAGTAGGGCCCACATAATGATTTCATTTCACTTTATCCTCTTTAAAGACCTTATCTACAAATACAGACATATTCTTAGGTACAGGGGGACAGGACATCAACACATGAATTGGAAGGGGGCACAATTCACAATTTAGCTCATAACACCTGTTAACCTTTTAAAATGTATTGGAAAACACAATATAACTTTTCCTCCTCCTAAGTGAAAACTATTTTGTGCATGACTTTTTAGCTTTCTAGGCTGCCTTGGGATTCAATTCAGAAATTAGAATGTGCTGTTTAGTATTATTTATCAAAACTCTAAATGTAATGCAATAGTAAATCTTCTCTCCTTCTCTAAATTGGACCTGCTTTATGCTGGCAGCCTGCAGTGGAAAAGGCCATCGTTGACTTCTTTATTTCACTGTCTTAAACTTCTTTTTTTACTCATCATCCCTGCTTGCTCCCAAAGGCTGCTAATCAATACTTTACTCTTCAAATATAGTAAAGCTATAGGAAAGGTCTTACTTGAATTGTTTCTTTACAACTTCCTCTTGTTCTCTGGCCTGGCAGAGATTTAAATCTCCTTGTCCTGAGAGTATTTTTGGTTTTGTAGAGATTCCCATCCCTGAGCACTTCTCATTGCAGTGCTAACGAAGAGAACGATGCATATTTTATAAGTGAGGTACTTCTTGTGACTTGACAAACTTGGGAGGTAAGCTGACCATAGGCAGTGCAGTTAGTTTCCTCAATCTATTTAATAGTTGTCACAAGCCAGCTTTATCATGCAAGTCAGGTCATAGCTTGCCACTCGCTACAAGTGCAAGGAGCACATTGCAAGCTCTCAAAATGGTGTCCTACATAATTTTCAGGGCCCAGTGCAAAATGGAAATGCAAGAAATATTGTTAAAAAAA